TGGAACTAAACCTGAATGGACTCTGGCAGAAGTGAAGCATCTATAGAGCGAGTTTACTTTAGTTAAACTCAGAGATAACCGAGTTTAGTTCAAGAAGCAAGTCGTTTGCTAAAAGGGGCGATTTAAATTCACTGTAAAATCAAGACAAAATATTCCATAGCCAATCCAAGTGCAAGTCTTGGCTGATTGTTTGATATCTGAATGCACCTGATTCTTTATAAATATGGAAATGCTACTCAAATGCCCAGGGAAATTCAAGAGAATTATGTGGCGATAAAAATGAGTAGACACTGTATGTTCAAAAGTACACATAAGTTTTTAGACGTTATCAAATCAACCCGGATGCGGTCTGTATTAATCTATGGCTAAGCTGACCCAGGCGAACGGTCAGAACAATCCAAAGGGAGCAAGAAAGGGAGACTCCCTGGTGGAAGACAGATAAAATTCAAAGCCCTGCTGAGTTACTTTATGGCAGAACAGATGGTAGGAATGTTTGGTGGTGGGAGGGGGTAATATTTCCTGGTCATTTTCCAGTCTTTCCCTCCCACTTATCCCAATAGGAGAAAAATCAGTACGCCAGCTGCAGGGCTTGCATACTTTTATCCCCATCCAGGAGGTGGGAGTCATGGGGGTAGAGAATAGAAGGGTCTGGATTGAGCAAATTCAAGTTCCTGGAACAACCCTTTTCACTGTTACCACTGTGAAATATACTCAGAGTCGAGTGTGGATTTCATGCTCTTTATTGAGCTCATATTAGTGAGGAATGAATGTTCTCCCAAAATATCTGCTTTATATACATTATTTACACAATGGGCCACACGTGATTAGCTAATTCCGGGATTCTACTGTAGGCCAATCAGGTTGCGGATTCACTTCCACCTGGCGCTGGATTGGGTGCCTCCTGCAGACCAATCATACTGCTGCATTGTTCTAGGACCAATCAGACTGCTGCATTCTGAATCATATTGTTCTAGGACCAATCAGACTGCAGCACCAACAGCAAAGAATCATGCGTGGTCAAGCTTTCTGTGTCTGCAATAGGCGGCCTACAACAGTGGACTTTCTTCCCTACCCCATGGATCTCCCTCTCTGTTCATGAAGAGGAAGCTCCACTGTATCCTATGGGCCTTTGGATCAGTGGTGTAGCCAAGTAATTTTAGACCCTGAACTGAATGACCTTACCAACAATGGGGGCTCTTTAAATGGCACATTAGTAACATTTCTGTTTTCTCCCCAGCCCTCCCCACTCTGCATGCTTTGCAACCAGTTCTACATGCATATGTTAGACCAGGGCGGTCCAACTTTTCATACCAAGTGGGCTGCAAGAGTACATCAACATGGAACCCGCAGGCCACAAACTGCCTTGTCATAGACTGCTTTGCCTCTTTTTGTGTCACTGGGAAGGCAGTAATTCTGTATTGATTTGCTATAGATGTTTGTATGTGATGCCAGTAAAAGGTTTGATGATGATGACTGCCTTGTCATGTGGTGGGGTGGGGAACCAAAATTTAATATCCCTCCCGCCCTTGCGCTGCCTTACCAAAGCCAGCTAAGCGAGGCACAAGGCTCCGGCAGGGTCCCAGAGCCCTTCTACCTCCTTCCCAAAGCTGGGAAAGCGCAAAGTAGGCTTTGCGAAGGAAACAAGAGGACTCTGGACTCTGTCAAGGTTGTTCATGCCTCCTTTCCAAAGCCCAGCACCTTCTTACCCAGCTTTGGAAAGGAAGTGTAAGGGCTGCGGGAAGGGCAGTGGTATCAAATGTTGCCAAGGGCTGCATGCAGTCCTCGGGTGATGTGTTGGACAGCCCTATGTTAGACCGGGAGGGTGCAGAAACCTAACTAAAAAACGTTGATTAAAAAATAAATAAAAATACTCTGAGTAAGTGTAGCTTTGCGTTTTAAATCATGCAGCCAACACGACAGGAATAAAATGTGAGTTTTATCCTCCTGTCCTGATGCTTAATACATTTACCTAGGATAAATGCCCACCTGTAACCATGTACATCAGTGTTTCCCAAACTTGGGTCTCCAGCTGTTTTGGGACTACAACTCCCATCATCCCTAGCTAGCAAGTGGTTAGGGGTGATGGGAATTGTGCTCCCAAAACAGCTGGAGACCCAAGTTTGGGAAACACTCATGTCTATGCTCAACAGAGCAATCCCTGACTAGAATTATAAATAAATAAAAGAAGTAACATAGGATGCTACAGTGACCAATGAAAGCAGAACAGTCCCTGGCATCTGCTTGCTTACCCAGGTGATGACTTGGGGCCAGGTTGGCGTTAACTAAAGTTCAGCCCTAGCAACAATGCTGCCTGGGAGATTGCTGTCTTAGTGGGCCATTCCAGCTTTTCAACATCAAAAGATTCTGCACAGGAGTAGTGGTAACGAAGGGTCCAGTCCAAGTTTAGTATTCATTCGGCAGCAATGAGACCTCCAATCATTCAGTCTACTTGGGAAGATGCAGCAAATTGCAACTATTCTATAGATTCTGGCCCAAAGGAATTCTCTGCAGGTGTCTCTCAAGAACAATCGGCTGCTTAGCTGCTCTGTGCTGGTGCAACTTAATGTAGCTTAATGAGATGTGGAAGATATTCATATTCAGGAAATGAATTCATAAGTAACAAAAAGTAGTTATAGCCTATTTGACCAGTTTCCAAGCTTAAAAATAATTTAAAACAGGAACTAAAAAATGGAAGAAATGAAGCTTTGGTACCTTGCATTAGGTAAGACGACAGAATGTGGTAACTCAGGCTTATAACCAATGACTTTCTTTAAATTCTTAATTAGTTTTATGAGCTAAATAGTTATGAACTATGGACTGCAAGAATATCAAACCTATCTGAAGGAAATCAGCTCTGAGTGCTCACTGGAAGGACAGATCCTGAAGCTGAGGCTCCAATACTTTGACCACCTCATGAGAAGAGAAGACTCCCTGGAAAAGACCCTGATGTTGGGAAGATGGCACAAGGAGGCTTGTTGGGATGTTGGAAGAGGGCACAAGGAGAAGGGGACGACAGAGGACGAGATGGTTGGACAGTGTTGTCGAAACTACTAACATGAGTTTGACCAAACTGTGGGAGGCCGTGGAAGACAGGAGTGCCTGGCGTGCTCTGGTTTATGGGGTCACAAAGAGTCGGACACAACTAAATGACTAAACAACAACAAGAAGTTATGAACTCAGGACTACATCCGTATTTTTCGCTGCAGAAATCTTACCTTCACATGTGTCAGTTTCACTGCTGAATATATACCCCTTTGGGCATGAACAGCTGTAGCTTCCAGGGGTATTTCGACACAAACCATTGTCACATAGCAATCTGTTCACTAGACATTCATCAATGTCTGGAAAGGAAAAGTTGATCGTACCAATTAGGATGTACGACAGAAATGGTGTTGCCCCTTCCCACTCACAATAGCAGATGGAAAATTACCATTAGCGCTATTCCACAAATGCTTCCATCAGTGATACTTTTCTAGAATAAAGAGGTGCTGGAATTCACCATGAACACCTCCCTCGTTGTTCTCTTAGAATGGCAATGGTGCTACCTGAGAGGTGCCAGAACTGAGTTCCTGTGAGTTCCCGCTGATAAAAAGCCCTGGCTTCTATAAGCAGAAGCGGTTCAATTGGTATGGAGGAGCTTCCTGGCAGGAAGGCTGGTTTTGCTTACTGGAAGGGAGAGGGGTGAAGTAGTACAGAGTTTGGTGTGCAAATGCACTGTGCAAAGTGCCAGTTTAGCTCTGCCAGTACTGTACGTTTGCAATGTACCAACTTCTCTGCTTCTCTCCCCTTCCTCTCCTATCAAGCAACAGTGACCCACCTGCTAGAAAGTGGTCCCACTGCACCCACTGAGCAACAGTGAAAGAATTCATCCAGCTCTATATAAGAGCTAGCATGCTCCTTTTGCACAAAAGCCTGCGCAAGAAAAAGGGCAATTCTTTCTTTGGTTTCACTTTTCCCACACAAAACTCTAGTGAAAGATATAAAAGAGCTCTTCAATTAGCAGAACAGAAGACCAGGAAGGTTCTTTCTCATTTGAGGCACCCAACGCTCCCTCTATTGTGCAGGAAAGGCAGTGACCACAATACTTAGCTTTCAAGCACTATTCCTGCTGCTGTCAGAATCATAGGCAGCCACAGCAGAAATCGTATGAATACAGTTCAGATAACATACCAACACAATTTCTTCCTGAAATATCCAATTCATATCCACTGTTACAATTACACCGATAGCTGCCACGCAGGTTTTCGCAAACCCCATTGGAGCAAATATCAGGATCTAAAGCACATTCGTTAATATCTGCAATAATAAAATAATTAAGGTTATTAATGTAGGTAGTTAATATTTTAAATGACAAACAATACACAGTACTAACTTCCTACAGCAAAACCATTTAGTAAAAAGTGAAACCAACCATACTTAAGTTGCATAAAAGGTTAACACTTCAAATTAAACCAGAATTAAACATCAGCAGACAAAATAGAACATCGGTCTGTTTTGCCCAGACAATAAAGGAATATTACTCTGCTGCTGTATTTTCGTGTCCATTAGTTTTTTTGCCTGGTCTCAACTGTTTTTTGGTGTGGTTGCTTTAAATATGGCAACCTGCTTTGAGATTAGTGCTGGGCTAAAATATTTTAAATAATATCTCCTTATTATAGGACTGCAGCCTGAAGCTGCTTGGGAACTGCTTGGAGTATATGCACAGTTTTAAGGAATGAAAGTTGTTTCATTTTATTAAAATACAATGTATATGCTACTGCCAAGAGAACATGTATAAATACATTCCATGCTTCTGCTGCAAGAGAGAATTTTGCCATTGGTTCCAGTGGGAAAACAGCTTAGCCGTTTCTCAGAGTCTGGTTCACTTTTAAAAAAATATGGTGCCTCGTACCTAAAACAACAGCATGTGGGAGGTTGAGGAACAAAATATTTTTGTCCGTTTATCTGATTTCATGCACATGATTTATTTATTTATTTTCATTTCCTTCCCTTTTTTATAGGTCACACCTGTAAAATGTTATGGAGCATTACCTCTTCCATCCACTGTAATTCCCACGCCACTGCTACACAGACCACGGAACTCAGCTTCTCATACGAAAACAAAAAAGGTAGAAAAACGTAAGAAAAATAAGTTAAGTAATACTATGTTTTAATACCATGTTACCTCAACTACTGCCGATTCAAATGGCATGTTATTTAACATTTGCAAGCACTGTGGAAGGAAATAACAGTCATGACTAGGGAAGAATGGCAAGCCAGTCCAGTCTGCTGGACTATGCTGAAATGGCAAAACTGACCGGGAGACTAGGGAACCAAGAAGATACTTTTTTAAAAGAATGGGAAAATTCATAACTTACTTAGGAAACCATTGCAAACAGATAAAAACGTTAGCTGAACTTTAAAAACCACTTGTGAAGAAATGAAAGATATGGACAATTTAGAGAAATGAAAATTGTGGAGAATGTACGAATATGTAGTTTTAGAAAGATTATTATAAGGACCCATGTAGGGGACGGATGGGGGGGGTCACAAGATCCAGGGAACCTCATAAATTGATATGTTAAAGGTTTTTTCTTTTAAAAAAAACACTTTAAACTTGTTTTCATAAAAACCAATAAAAAAGATTTCAAAAAAAAAACAACCACGAAAACATTTGCAAGTACTGTAAGGTTTTTTTTTATCGTTTATGTACTTATTAAATTTATATCCCACCCTTCCTCCCAAAGGAGCCCAGGGCAGCCGACAAGTGATAAAACAAAGAAAACATCTTTAAAACAATTCCAATACAGATGTAAAGTGGGAAAGATCTCTACCTAAAAGGCTCATTGGACGACAAAGGTCTTCAGTAGGCAAGAAAAAGACAACTGAGACAAAACCTGTCTAGTTTTCAAAGTACAGTGCCACAACACTGAAAGCCTGATTACTACATTGTACAGAACAGAGTATCCACCCTAATCTGCAGGGTGCAGTGATCTATTGGTGAGATTATATTTTGGGTATCCTGGTTCCCATCTGTATATGACTTTATACACAAAACCAGCACCTTGAACTTAGCCCAGTAGCTAACTGGCAGTCTGTGCAATTCTTTTAACAGCAGGGTAAAGGTAAAGGGTAAAGGGACCCCTGACCATTAGGTCCAGTCGTGGCCGACTCTGGGGTTGTGGCGCTCATCTCGCTTTATTGGCAGAGGGAGCCAGCGTACAGCTTCCAGGTCATGTGGTCAGCATGACTAAGCCGCTCCTGGCGAACCAGAGCAGCGCACGGAAATGCCATTTACCTTCCCGCTGGAGTGGTACCTATTTATCTACTTGCACTTTGATGTGTTTTTGAACTGCTAGGTTGGCAGGAGCAGGGAGCGTACAACAGGAGCTCTCTCCATCGCGGGGATTCGAACTGCCGACCTTCTGATCGGCAAGTCCTAGGCTCTGTGGTTTAACGCACAGTGCCACCCACGTCCCAACAGCAGGGTAACATAACATGCTGCCAATATCCTGCTCCAGGGAGCGGCCAAGACACCACATTTTGCATCAGCTGCAGCTACCAGACCAACCTCAAGGGATCACTAGTGCATGGGTGACTATTATCAGGCTATCCTGGTCTAGAAACGGTTGCAGCTGTCTTACCAGCTGAAGGTAGCAGACTGACTACTACTACTATTCCCCTGTTTTCTTGGGCAATATACATTTTTCACAGTAATCAAAAGAAGAACACAACTTTACCCGAGTTCTTGGCAGGGCATGGGTGGCAAGGCTCTCCAAAGCCATAGTCCAGATTGGCACAGCAACATTCAGATTTTGTCACTGCTCCAGGAAAAGGTCGGACACATATTCCCTTTTTGATCCCACCATAGCATGTGCTGCGCATATGGGTATCTAAGAGGAGTCGGGCAGAACAATAGGTGAGTTGTCTTACAATTGGAAATGGTATGAAGAAATACTCTTCACATAAAAAATGAACCCAAAACCTTTGCATCTGCAATTCGTTAATTAATATTGAATACAAAACTTGGCTTCTACAAAGTCCAATACCGACCAAATGTTGACATTCAACATAGGCTTATATCTGTATCTGAATATTCCGTTCATGCCCAAAGTTACTTCTAATATGTCTTACTTACCGTAATTTTCGCTCCAAAACACGCACTTTTTTGCTCCTAGAAAGTAAGGGAAAATGCCTGTGCGTGTTAAGGAGCGAATGCACTCGACTGGATCCATGGCTGCCGTCCGTCAAGCAAAGCAAGCTTTGCTTGCTTTACAGCCAGGAGGAGGGGGAGGAGCCGAGGAGGGAGGGAGGGAGGGAAGGAGAGCCATGGCAGCAAAGCGGGCAGCAGCCGCTTACACGCGAGGAGGGACAGACGGGAGCCATAGGGAGCCGGAAAAGCGCCGCGTAGCCAGCAACAGCTGCTGCAGCCTCAGCTAGCAACGCTCTCTAAACGGAGCAATGAGGCTGCAGAGGGACGGCAGGGCACAGGAGGGCTCTGAGCCACGAGCGCAGTGAAAACCAGTAAAAAAGTTTTTAAAAAGGCTGCTGGGGACAGGAGGGCACGGGATGAGGGAGAGAGGGAAATTACGATTCTCCCAGCGTCTCAGCTGATCCGCTGAGCAGGACTTGGGTTGCAGGGGATTCGCCATTAGCTGCGTAAAGCAGCAAAGAGGGAGAGAAGGAGCAAAGTGGGAGAGGAAAGGAGCTGCTTACACTGCTGTAAGTGGCTGCTGTCTGGTTGGCTCCTTTAAAGCAACAGTGCTCTTTCCCTCCCCCCTCCCCTCTCAGCTCGCCGAAAAGCTCCTTTTCCACACACCCCACTCGAGCTCCTTCTCCCCTTAAATCCCTCTCCTGCATCATTAGCCACATCCTTCTCCACCCACCCCACGCGTGTTCCTTCTCCCCTTAAATCCCTCTCCTGCATCATTAGCCACATCCTTCTCTACACACCCCACGCGTGTTCCTTCTCCCCTTTAACCGCTTGCCTGCATCATTAGCCACATCCTTCTCTACACACCCCACGTATGCTCCTTGTCCCTTGAATGCTTTCCCTTCCCTCCCTACTTAAAACGTGGTTACAAAGCACGGATCCACATGGATCCTCAGGATTTTTGCACTGGGTCACCCCAGGTTCACCATCAGATCACATAAAATGTCCATGGCTACAGCCTGCACCAAAAAAATCACGCACCCACTGTTTCATGGGGCTGCAATGGCGCAAAAACGTGGTTACAAAGCATGGATCCACATGGATCCACAGGATTTTTGCATTGGGCTACCCCAAACTCACCGTCAGATCACGTTTGTGGCCACAGCATGAACCACAAAAATCATACATCCACTGTTTTGTTTAGAATATTTTTTTCTTGCTTTCCTCCTCTAAAAACTATGTGCGTGTTATGGTCAGGTGCGTGTTATAGAGCGAAAAATACGGTAACTTTATTTCCTGCAGGTTACTTTTGAGTTTGTATGAATGCATGTATGATTTAAGATTATTTACATTGCAATTCTATACATGTCTACTGAGTACGTGTGTATAGTACGGCAGTCTTAATGAAATTTTCTTTTCATACAGTCTGTTAAATATTTAACCTGCTTGTCAGCACTACTAAAAGCCCTAAGCAGAATGTTTAATAAAATACGCCAATTCTCAGACTATAAACACTTTTCAGCTGCCTACAGTTTCTGCCTACATCACTTAGATCATTCAAAAGATCCTGCAGCTTAGCCAGCAAGAAGGGTTTTGAAGCCAAAGAGAATTTACAGTAGATTTGTTAACAGTAGACACACACTTTGAAATTCTGTTCAGAAGGACAAGAATGAAGTAAGATTTTTTTTTTATTATGCGCTATTTAAGATTTCTTCCCATTACTGCATGTCTAGAGTAATTATATCACCTTGTTGGGGAACTGAATTTCCTAAATGATTCGGGATTTTGCCTCTAATGAAGAAATAGTCTAACAACTAATAGCGAGTTAGATTCTTTTAAGCACCAGCATTATGTATTCCAAAAGAGAATTAAACACCCTGGACTACAGACATTACTGCTAGTGCGGGGCCAGGGCTTAGTAGGTTTTAGTTTCTGCCCTGAAACTTGTACTTTCAGCAAGGCAAATTTCCCCAGCAGCAACAAATCTATGGCAAATTGAGAGGTGGGGGGTGGGGAAATCCCCATATAACTTTGGGATTATTTTAAGAATTGAACAGGTTATCCATGCCAATTTTGGATTTAGCCCTTTGGGTCTGGCTCTGGAATTACACAGAGTCAGTATCATAAACACAATGCCAAACCTAAACATTCTCATTTTCATTGATTTATTCCAGACTGCCAATGAACAATTGGCATTTATTAAAGAGTTGGTAGTAGAGAACAGAGGAGAAGATGAAAAACTATAGTGTACACTACTAATTCATTAGACAGTGTTTATTTATACAGTCATACCTCGGGTTGAAGTAGCTTCAGGTTAAGTATTTTCGGGTTGCGCTCTGCGGTGACTAAGAAGTAATGGAGCATGTTACTTCCAGGTTCCACAGCTCGTGCGTGCACAGACGCTCAAAATGACGTCACGTGCATGCGCGGAAGTGGCGAATTGCGACCCGCGCATGCGCAATCGTGGGTTACACTCTACTCAGGATGCGAACGGGGCTCTGGAACAGATCCCGTTCGCATCCAGAGGTACCACTGTATTTAAAAGACTAAACGGACTATGAAACTACAATGTGCTGTTTCAAGTATGTGACAAAATAGGCTTTAGAACACATGATGCAGTTCATCTTTGTAAACACAAGAAGCGGGAAAGTAGGCATTTCTGCAAAAGCTATTTTCATGGCAGAAGTGCTAGCACAAGTGGAAGTCATGTAACAGCATGCACACGCGTGCACACACACACACACCAGGAGCAGCAGTGGTTGGCTCCGATACACAACCTGCACTGTACCAAACTCCTGCTCTCTTGCCCCTCTCTTTTGGTAAGCGGAAAAGACACACAACATTCAGGAGACGAAAGAGCAATGCAGTCCCAGCCACAGGGCCCCAGTGGCCGTAATGCTGAATGGTATATGATATTCTAGTGTTGTGCAACACTTCTGCTAGCCCAAGCTACCCACTGGGTCCAGCTGTTGCACTACGTTAACGATGGGGACCTCACTAGCAGAATGACTGTTGTACTAGCAGCTGCCACAATTGGCTCTCACCCATATTTGTTTAAACTTTATCACATTAAACTGTAAAAGTGTCTCTTACCTGCGAATGTGATAAGGAGACGCCAGAGTCGCTTCAGCACATTATATTCACTTGCCCCTTATTCAAGGTGCCACGGGCAAATTTGTTGGGATCAATCATTCAGAAACTAGAGGGTACCCCACCAAAATTCCACCTTGCCCAAATCTTGCAGGATAAGGATACCCATACGACCCTGAAAGTGGCTAGGTTCCTGGTCGCTGTCCTTACCCAAAAGCGTTGCCAAGGAGCACCACAAGCTAATCAAGGCGTAGTATGCCATTCCATCTTATAGTATTTTATTGTTATAGTAGTGTTTTAGCGGCTGTTTTTTCCCACGTGCACACGCTGTTATTTATGTCTTGTTTTTATCTGTATGGGCCTATGGCCGTAATAAATTATTATTATTATTATTATTAAGTGTCTCTTACCTACACAGACACGACCATCAACTCCCACAGCTAGGCCTGGCGGACAATCACAACGAAACGAGCCCTCGGTGTTAATGCAGTGACCATTCATGCAAATCCCTGGCTGATGGCACTCATCAATATCTGGAAGAAAATGTATGTTTTACTGATTAGTAAATGAAACCACGATTTTCTTATAAAAATGTATAATTGTGGCCTTCTAATGTCATTCACCAACTGCTTCCACTGAAGATTCATATGTGGATTAAATAAACAAGCAATGAATAAGCTCAGGGCAAAATTTGATCAAAGGGCACAAACCTCAACACTGGCACAATTCAGTGGAAACTTTTCCTATGTCAGCACAACTGAAATAAGTAGGAGAGAAACAACCATAGTGTTCTCTCTCTCTCTCTCTCTCTCTCTCTCTCTCTCTCTCCCTCTCCCTCTCCCTCTCCCTCTCTTTTTGTGTGTGTATAGAGTCAAGATTGCCATAATATGGTGCCTTACATACCAGTACAGTAGCGCCCATTAGG